CACACACACACACACTCTCTCTCTCTCTCTCTCTCTCTCTCTCTCTCACACACACACACACACACACACACACACTCACACACACCCACAGCGTCCAGCATCACACACACACACACACACACTTATTGTTGCTCGCTGTAAGTGATGATGTACAGTCAGCAGACGCTCCTGTTAGGGTTTATTTTGTGATAATGAACATCTGACTCTACATTGTCCTTCTTGTCCAAATAAATCAGTAAATGAACATGAAATATTTATTAAAGACTAAGTGATTTTATTAAGTTAGAGGAAAAAAGTGCGGAATCGTTTAAAAGACATACTAGCTATGTAGGGAAAAAACTTGCCTGAAACAGCCATCAATGTCTCTGTCTGTGTGTACAGCCCTTCATGCCTCTGGCCAGCCTGCGCTGTTCTCCTGACGCGCATCTGTTCCTGTGCCAGGCATTTGTTCCCGAGTGCACGGATCACACGCGTGTCCTGCGGCCCTGCAGAGAGCTGTGTGAGCGTGTTCTGTCCGACTGCAGCAGAGACATGCTCACCTTCGGCATCAGCTGGCCGTCCGAGCTGCAGTGTGACCGGTGAGTAGATCATCAGTCTTCTGTGAGAGGAATGGGCTGCAACAGCTAAACAATCATGAAAATGGTAGGGGTGTGTGATATCATGATTTTTGATTGTGGTCGATTAAAATGTCTCTACGATCTGCTTTTGAAGAAATGTGGTAGTATCGTGCTACAGAGCACATTCTATCAGCTGCAGTTCTGGCACCTCTGTCTCAATATACTGTACGAGACATACATACAAATAAACGTGAATTAAAATTCACATCAGATGTTACTTAGCGGTAGAGTTACACTCACGGGACACTACACTTATTCACAATCACAAAACTACATTATTTCCATCTGCTTTAAAGCCTTGCCGGTTAAACATTTCATTCGCGTGCTGCTCTGACGTGTGCTTTTTCTGAGCGTGCACACACTAAAGATCCTGTCAAACAGCGGCTGAGTTATCGTTCGCATCTGATTGCGCTACTACTGTCAGAAACACACAAGCACATAGCAAAGATGGTTGCCCACTGCTCCAGGTGTGTGTACATGCAGAGCACAAATTCTGAATATGGGACCCCTTACTTGGCTACACGTCACGTCACTTGTCATTAAAGGGATAGTTCACCCAAAAATGAAAATTCTGTCACTGTTTACTCATGCTCATGTTGTGTATTAATTTCTCTCTTGTGCTGAACACAAAATAAGTTATTTTGAAGAATGTGGGTAACCAAACAGTAGCTGGTCTCCATTGACTTTAATAGTAGGGAAAAAATACTATGGAAGTCACTGTGGACCAGCAACTGTTTAGTTACACACATTCTTCAAAATAACTTTTATGTTCAAAAGAAGAAAGAAATTCATTCAAGTTTAAAGCAACTTGAGAGTGAGTAGGTGACAGAATTTTCATTTTTGGGTGAATTATCCCTTTAATTTTAATAAGTCAAGTCACCTTTATTTATACAGCGCTTTATATAATACTGATTGTGTCAGCTTTACAGAGTCAAACAGGAATATAGTTTGTCAATAATGCAAGAAGACAATAACAGAGTCATTTTCCAGCTAAAGTCAGTTCAATGATGATTCAGTGACGTCATCATCCAGTTCAGCTCTAAAACAACAAAACAAAGAGAAAAATCACTCGCTTCTCTTGCCTGAAGAACTTTAATACAGTTGCTTTAATAAGAATCCGTGTATAATTTATACAGTGAAGTGTATATAGTGTTTTATTTTTATTTGTTCGTTCAATTTCTTGAATGCTACTGCTAAATACACCTACTGTACCTGTTTTATTTGTATCAAATATGTATTTGTAATGTATTTATTTAATTATTTTTTAATAACAAAGATAAAATAATGACAAAGATTTCTTTATTTTTGGCCTAAATGCCTGCCATTCTTTTTATTTAATATTTTCTTACCTTGTAAGACTTTGTTTTTTAAATAGGGAAATTAGTTTGGCTGTGCTGCTCAGAAAACTTGCAAAATAGTAAAACCAACATAAAGAATCGTGATATGATAGTCCGTGGGCTGTGAGTTGGAGAACTTCACCTTCAGTGTCACGTTAGAGTAGTGAGAAAACAGCGGAGGCCACAGCATGAGCTACTCTGGGAGATGGATGTGGCATTGCTAGAAGAATGCAGAGTAAGCGCTCGACTGAAGTCAATGGTGTAGGGTTTGCTACAAACACTAGTGTAAACGTGAACTGAGACACTATCACAACTGATTGGGGTTAGAGCTCTTAATGTTGAACTCTGAAAGTACACCAGATTAATGCATTTTACTTAAAAATGTACAAATATTTCTTCTGCTAGTGTGATCAAACAACAACCGTTTGACCAAAGTGCTGTACAATGTTAAAAATGTAATTTTTGCACAC